TTGCCCATCCATGTCTTCTCCATGGCTGGTCTCACCTTTGGTTGCCCATCCATGTCTTCTCCATGGCTTGTCTCACCTTTCCTTGCCCATCCATGTCTTCTCCAATGATGCTCTGACCTTTGGTTGCCCTTCCATGTCTCCTCCATGGCTGGTTTCACCTTTCCTTGCCCATCCATGTCTTCTCCATGGCTGGTCTCACCTTTGGTTGCCCATCCATGTCTTCTCCATGGCTTGTCTCGCCTTTCCTTGTCCATCCATGTCTTCTCCATGGATGTTCTCACCTTTGGTGGCCCATCCGTGGATTGAGGGTGGTTGTTTCTCCCCATTTTCTGCAGCTTCTCCTCCTCCTCCGCTCTCCTGTGAAGATCTCTCTTGCCAGGAGAAGTGCCAGGTGGTGGACGGCCAACCCACCTGCATCCACGAAGCCCCCTTGACCTGCTGGGCCACCGGTGACTCTCACTACCGGACCTTTGATGGGAAAACCTTGCATCTCATGGGCACCTGCACTTACACCTTGACCAAGACCTGCCACCAGGATCCCACCATCCCCTTCTTCAGTGTAGAGGCCAAAAATGAAGCCAGGGGCCACCTGGGAGTCTCCCACGTGGACACTGTGACCGTCCACGTCTATGACGTCACCGTGGAGGCCACCAGGGCCGAGAACGGCATTGTGAGGGTAAGCCAGCAAAAAGAATAATCTCTTTAAGGAGGACCTTCAGTGTCTTCTCCGACTTCAAGGATCTTCCGAGTTGCCACCCGTGAGGTGGTGGCGCCACCACGTGGTCGTCCCTTGGAAGGAGACACCCCAAAACTTCAAAAAGTCGACTTTTCGGGCCCCGTTTGATGAAATCCGTTGAGGTTTTCATGGTTGGTGTTTCTTCTCCTCCAGGTGAACAACCGTCGCTCCCACCTCCCCATCTCCTTGGCCCGGGGGAAGCTCCGCCTACGGCAGAAGGGCAGGTCCCTCTTGATCCAGACCCACTTCCACCTGAAGGTCCTCTATGACTGGGACCACCACCTGCTGGTCAAACTCCCCGGCGCCCTCTCGGCCAAAGTCTGCGGTTTGTGTGGCAACGGCGACCCCCGGGATGACCACTTGGCCCAGGCCAACCTGACGGGGGACCTGGGTTGGGAGGCCACCAACCGGAGCCAGCCTTGCTGGGACAACTGCAGCGGTGGGGACTGCGGAGGTTGTCCAGGGGACGAGGGGAAGAAATACGAGGGGGAAGAGTCTTGCGGGTTGATGGCCCAACGGCCTGGACCTTTCGAGGGGTGTCACCACACCCTGGACCCCCAGGTCTACCTGAAGAACTGCGTCTACGACCTCTGCGTCAATGATGGTCTCCACGTCCTGCTCTGCCGGGCCCTGGAAGCCTACGCAGATGACTGTCGGGAGGAGGGAACGGCCGTCTCCGATTGGAGGACGTTGGTCAATTGTCGTGAGTAGCTCCACCCGGGGGGTGGGCGGGGCAACGGGGACCTTGGTTGAGGTGGGTGGAATCAGGAGGTGACGGGATGGAAACGAGTAGAAAAGGGAAACTGAGTCAACGGGGAGGGGTTTTGGTGTCTCCAGGGAGGTGGGAGGAGGTGGTTTTCAGGCAGGGCACACCAAGGTGGGGCTGAAAGGGTTGTGGGTGCCCACCATGACCAGAGTGTCCCACCACACCATGACCACGATGTCCATCCCCATCATGACCATGGTTTTCTATCCCTACCATGACCGTGGTGTCTATCCCCACTATGACCATGATCTCCCATCCCACCATGACCATGGTTTTCTATCCCTACCATGACCGTGGTGTCTATCCCCACTATGACCATGATCTCCCATCCCACCATGACCATGGTTTTCTATCCCTACCATGACCGTGGTGTCTATCCCCACTATGACCATGATCTCCCATCCCACCATGACCATGGTTTTCTATCCCTACCATGACCGTGGTGTCTATCCCCACTATGACCATGATCTCCCATCCCACCATGACCATGGTTTTCTATCCCTACCATGACCGTGGTGTCTATCCCCACTATGACCATGATCTCCCATCCCACCATGACCATGGTTTTCTATCCCTACCATGACCGTGGTGTCTATCCCCACTATGACCATGATCTCCCATCCCACCATGACCATGGTTTTCTATCCCTACCATGACCGTGGTGTCTATCCCCACTATGACCATGATCTCCCATCCCACCATGACCATGGTTTTCTATCCCTACCATGACCGTGGTGTCTATCCCCACTATGACCATGATCTCCCATCCCACCATGACCATGGTTTTCTATCCCTACCATGACCGTGGTGTCTATCCCCACTATGACCATGATCTCCCATCCCACCAAGATCATGGTGTCCATCCTCACTGTGACAATGGTGTCCCATCCCCACCATGACAATGGTGTCCCATCCCCACCATGACCATGATGTCTACCCCCATCATGACTACAGTGTCCCATCCCACCATGACCATAGTTTTTGTATCCCCACCATGACCATGATCTCCCATCCCACCACGATCATGGTGTCCATCCTCACCATGACAAGGTGGCCCACCCCACCATGACTGTGGCTTCCATCTTCACCACAACCATGATCTCCCATCCTCATCATGACAAGGTGTCCCACCATGACCATGGTGTCCATCCTCACCATGACAAAGTGTCCAACCATGACCATGGTCTCTCGTCCCCGCCATGACCATGATCTCCTATCCCACCATGACCACAGTGTCCATGCCCACCATGACAAGTTGTCCCACCCCACCATGATCATGACCTCTCGTCCCCACCATGACCATGATCTCCCATCCCACCATGACAAGGTGCCCCACTCCAACATGACCACGATCTCCCATCCCCACCATGATCGTGGTGTCCGTCCTCACCATGACCTTTGCCACCATGCCCATCATCACAAGGTGTCCCACCATGACCATGACCTCTCGTCCCCACCATGACCATGATCTCCCATCCCACCATGACCATGTTATCCATCCCCACCATGACCATGGCGTCCATCCCCACCATGACAAGGTGCCCCACTCCAACATGACCACGATCTCCCATCCCCACCATGATCGTGGTGTCCGTCCTCACCATGACCTTTGCCACCTTGCCCATCATCACAAGGTGTCCCACCATGACCATGACTTCTCGTCCCCACCATGACCATGATCTCCCATCCCACCATGACCATGTTATCCATCCCCACCATGACCATGGCGTCCATCCCCACCATGACAAGGTGCCCCACTCCAACATGACCACGATCTCCCATCCCCACCATGATCATGGTGTCCGTCCTCACCATGACCTTTGCCACCATGCCCATCATCACAAGGTGTCCCACCATGACCATGACCTCTCGTCCCCACCATGACCATGATCTCCCATCCCACCATGACCATGTTATCCATCCCCACCATGACCATGGCGTCCATCCCCACCATGACAAGGTGCCCCACTCCAACATGACCACGATCTCCCATCCCCACCATGATCGTGGTGTCCGTCCTCACCATGACCTTTGCCACCATGCCCATCATCACAAGGTGTCCCACCATGACCATGACCTCTCGTCCCCACCATGACCATGATCTCCCATCCCACCATGACCATGTTATCCATCCCCACCATGACCATGGCGTCCATCCCCACCATGACAAGGTGCCCCACTCCAACATGACCACGATCTCCCATCCCCACCATGATCGTGGTGTCCGTCCTCACCATGACCTTTGCCACCATGCCCATCATCACAAGGTGTCCCACCATGACCAGACCTCTGCGTCAATGATGGTCTCCACGTCCTGCTCTGCCGGGCCCTGGAAGCCTACGCAGATGACTGTCGGGAGGAGGGAACGGCCGTCTCCGATTGGAGGACGTTGGTCAATTGTCGTGAGTAGCTCCACCCGGGGGGTGGGCGGGGCAACGGGGACCTTGGTTGAGGTGGGTGGAATCAGGAGGTGACGGGATGGAAACGAGTAGAAAAGGGAAACTGAGTCAACGGGGAGGGGTTTTGGTGTCTCCAGGGAGGTGGGAGGAGGTGGTTTTCAGGCAGGACACACCAAGGTGGGGCTGAAAGGGTTGTGGGTGCCCACCATGACCAGAGTGTCCCACCACACCATGACCATGGTGCCCATCCCCACCATGATCACGATGTCTATCCCCATCATGCCCACCATGACCACAGCGTCCCACCACACCATGACCATGGTGCCCATCCCCACCATGATCACGATGTCTATCCCCATCATGCCCACCATGACCACAGCGTCCCACCACACCATGACCATGGTGCCCATCCCCACCATGATCACGATGTCTATCCCCATCATGCCCACCATGACCACAGTGTCCCATCCCACCATGACCATGGTTTTCTATCCCTACCATGACCGTGGTGTCTATCCCCACTATGACCATGATCTCCCATCCCACCAAGATCATGGTGTCCATCCTCACTGTGACAATGGTGTCCCATCCCCACCATGACAATGGTGTCCCATCCCCACCATGACCATGATGTCTACCCCCATCATGACTACAGTGTCCCATCCCACCATGACCATAGTTTTTGTATCCCCACCATGACCATGATCTCCCATCCCACCACGATCATGGTGTCCATCCTCACCATGACAAGGTGGCCCACCCCACCATGACTGTGGCTTCCATCTTCACCACAACCATGATCTCCCATCCTCATCATGACAAGGTGTCCCACCATGACCATGGTGTCCATCCTCACCATGACAAAGTGTCCAACCATGACCATGGTCTCTCGTCCCCGCCATGACCATGATCTCCTATCCCACCATGACCACAGTGTCCATGCCCACCATGACAAGTTGTCCCACCCCACCATGATCATGACCTCTCGTCCCCACCATGACCATGATCTCCCATCCCACCATGACAAGGTGCCCCACTCCAACATGACCACGATCTCCCATCCCCACCATGATCGTGGTGTCCGTCCTCACCATGACCTTTGCCACCATGCCCATCATCACAAGGTGTCCCACCATGACCATGACCTCTCGTCCCCACCATGACCATGATCTCCCATCCCACCATGACCATGTTATCCATCCCCACCATGACCATGGCGTCCATCCCCACCATGACAAGGTGCCCCACTCCAACATGACCACGATCTCCCATCCCCACCATGATCGTGGTGTCCGTCCTCACCATGACCTTTGCCACCTTGCCCATCATCACAAGGTGTCCCACCATGACCATGACTTCTCGTCCCCACCATGACCATGATCTCCCATCCCACCATGACCATGTTATCCATCCCCACCATGACCATGGCGTCCATCCCCACCATGACAAGGTGCCCCACTCCAACATGACCACGATCTCCCATCCCCACCATGATCATGGTGTCCGTCCTCACCATGACCTTTGCCACCATGCCCATCATCACAAGGTGTCCCACCATGACCATGACCTCTCGTCCCCACCATGACCATGATCTCCCATCCCACCATGACCATGTTATCCATCCCCACCATGACCATGGCGTCCATCCCCACCATGACAAGGTGCCCCACTCCAACATGACCACGATCTCCCATCCCCACCATGATCGTGGTGTCCGTCCTCACCATGACCTTTGCCACCATGCCCATCATCACAAGGTGTCCCACCATGACCATGACCTCTCGTCCCCACCATGACCATGATCTCCCATCCCACCATGACCATGTTATCCATCCCCACCATGACCATGGCGTCCATCCCCACCATGACAAGGTGCCCCACTCCAACATGACCACGATCTCCCATCCCCACCATGATCGTGGTGTCCGTCCTCACCATGACCTTTGCCACCATGCCCATCATCACAAGGTGTCCCACCATGACCA